TCATTGTTGCACTCGATCAGTGCCTTATATCACCCTGTCTCAAGTCCCTTCTGCACCTCACCTGTTCCTTCATGCCCCCATCTGTCCTCCGACCTCTTTTGACCTGCAGTGATTTTTCTGCCTCATCCTTCCTTCACTCCTTCCCCTTCTCCCTTCTCCTCCCCCTTTTTGAACGTGTGTTTTTAAGCTAAAACTTTTACTTCCTTTAATGATTCTATTTGGATTCAAGTTTTCTTACTTTTTTACTAAGTTATTTTGCTAAGTGACGTATTTTTACTGGAAGTTGTCATTCCTCCTAAGTTTTCAAATTTATTGAACATAATAAAATGTGGAATTAGTTTAATTTTGTCAGACTCTTTCCTACACTTTCACTTTCCTTTTTCTTCTGTAGCAGTTTGTCAGAGGTTCCTTCCCCCCGCCCAGCCTTTACTTATTTTAAGCTTATTTTCACGGCTTAGATTTTTTTGTTTACCATTTTTCAAAAAATCCATTTTAGGGGAGCTCTGGTGGCCTAGTGGCAAGGAGCTGCAACTACAATCCCAGAGGCGCACGGTTTGAATCCACCAGATGCTCTGCTGGGGAAGGAGGGACAGTCTCCTCCTGTACCAGTCAGATCTGATTTGACGGTACACACACACACAAAAGAATTAAAAAAAAAACACCAAACAATTGGTCTTAGGGAACAACAACAACAAAATCCATTTTATTCATTTATTCATTGTCCAGCTTTCACCAACATTCATTAAATATGGCATCATTGGGGTCAAGCACATTTTAGTCTTAAAAGTGATATCTTACACTTCAACATTTCAAAAGTTCTATCTAATCTATATATAGAGAGAGCTTCTTTCTCCTGTGCTTTGTACCTCTTTTTAAAATATATGTACTTTTTATTTGATTGTAGTTTACTTCAAATTCCCTATACATTGTTTTTCACATTGGATCTTTCCCATTTCCTTAACCCACCCCCCATCACATTGTGTGACCCTGTGATTATGCACCCCAATCCTCACCTTCCGCTTCTACCCTCCTCTTCTTAGATCGTCATACTCATTCTACAGTAATGGTCTTACACAATATTTGTCCAAATAGAACTGAATTAGTTCACTCATCATAATGCTCTTCAGTCTCTCCCAAGTTAGGTAGTAATTTACAATATCATTGCTCCTGCGTGCTGCATAGTATTCCATGGTGTGAATATACGTACCACCATTTCTCATTCTAGCCTATTGTGCTTGGTCATCTGGGCTCTTTCCTTGTTCTTGCGATGGTGAATAATGCTGCTATGAACATTGGTGTATAAATCTCTTTTCTCGGGATATATATTCCACATTTCCCATTTTTAAAGAGCTTGCAGACAAAACTTCTGTGAAACGATAGCCCCACCCTTGTGATGGAACTCTCTTCCCGAGATTGTCGTAGGCTGGTTCTGACCTAAGTGGAATACCCAATTTGGGGACCTGCATTTGGATCTGTTCTTTCAAACCCTGGAAGCCTGCAATTTAATTTAGAAAAAATAAAAACTAATCCTTTCTCTATGAGATTTTTTAACAACTTCTCTTATCTCCCATAGTGTTTTGTTTTTTGGTTTTTTTTAATTCTTTAGCATTTCTTTCCTCTCAAAATACATTAAGTCCTAACCTGTCAGTTCACCTTCCCGCTTGCCTGTGAGCTGGTTTACGTAGGCGACATCAGGTTCTTACTCCATCATTCTTGCCTTTGCCATTTAGATGATTTCTCCACCCATCTCTCCCCTTATACTACTCTGGTGAAAATATTCGAAGTGGGTTCACATAACTCAGCAATTTTTTCTCATCTCCCTTGCATTCGTTTTCCTATAACTTTCTCCTGGAAAGTGACAGTGTTGCAGAAGCACGAACAGTTGTCAGTGTGTTATTTGTGACTCAGAGACCTCATTAAATCTGCCTGTACTTTTCATTTGTCTTCCCCAGTGCTAACACCTTACAGCTGTGATGTGCCATTGAGTCAGCTCCGTCTCGTAGCAACCCTGTGCGCGACAGATTCTAACTCTCGCTCTATCCTGAGCCAGCCTGACTGCTGCTGACATCCCTACCCCATTACCCTACTCTTTACTCTCTCAGTCCCTCTCATCCAAGGGTCTTCCTCTCCTGCGCTGTCCGTCCATCCTTCCAAACATGAGGTCTTTCTATAAGGAATGGTCCCTCCTGGCCATATGCCTGAAGTATGTGAAGTGGAACCTCTTATTCTGTAAGCTTTTGAGAAACCTATTTGGTTTCGTAGCAGCATGCAGGCCTCCACTGAAATGTCAGTTGAGTTGCTGGTTGCTCATGACGCCTGTTGACACATTGGCCAGGAATCCAACACACAGTTTCCCACAGGGAAGGTGATAATCGAGTCACTGTCCAGTCGCTGCCATCATCCATGATTAGTGCAATATTGTTCTTGTTGTTACACATCACTCACTCACTCACTCATTTTGCTGTCAAATTGGAACTGGCTCATAGCGGACTCGCCAGCGAATTTCCAAAGCTAAAAGTAAAACCACGAGGTAACACGAGGTTACCGCTCCTCCTTCTCCTGATGACCAGCTAGTGTATTTGAACCCCCAGAAGGGCGTCCTGTTTGGCTTAGACTGCCCGTCTTCCTCCCACAGAGACCTGGGTGAATTCGAACTGCCGGAGAGGCATGGCCTTGGAGTTATCAGTGCCGTTTCATATGCACTACATCACTTTTGTAGGGAGCTCTGCTTGTCTAGTGGTAAGAAGGTACTCTGCAATCCCAAAGGCACACAGTTCTAATCCACCTGGTACTCCATAGGAGAACAGTTTCTTCCCGTGCAATTTCCTGCCTCGGAAAAACCGCTGAAGCGTCAGCTATGAGTTGTTTCTGACTTGATGGCACACAATAACACTTTACATTAACATAACAATAACATTTTCAGCAAGCATGGCTCTGGCTACCAATGAATTTTCCTCCAGCCCTGATGCTGTATTCTTCTTAATGCGACAGGCTTCTCATAGTCTTTATTCAGCTTGTAAACTGACTAAGTATGGTGAAGGCCTAGTGGTAAGAAGCTGTGCTGCAATCCCAAAGGAATGTGGTTCGAATCCACCTGCTTCTCCATGGGAATTCCTGCCTCTGAAAACCTTCTGGAGGGTCAGCTGTGAGTCAGTTCTGACTCAGTAACCCACAGTGGAAGTATGATGAAAGAATACAGCCGTGTCACAAACATTTCCAAACTTGAAACCATACAGGATCCCTGCTTTCTGTTGGAACACTTGCCTCGTGGCCTGTGTACAAGTTCTGCTGGAGCACAGAAAGCGTCCTGGAATTCTTTGTAACATCGTTATCATTTGTTGTGATCAACACAGTCAAATAGTTTTGCATCATCAATAATAGTCTTTGCTTTTAGCCAAAATCCACCTGACAGCAGCGCTAATATCCCTAATTCCACATCCTTCTGAGTGGAACTTGAATTTCTGGTGCTTTGTTGCTGATGTAGTGATGCAAGTTTGTTTTCCTCCCTCTCGGCTGAGTTTTACTTCTCTCTGATACTGTTTCCATCATTTCTCCTTTCTGTCGGCTCACCTTTTCTCAGTGCCACAAATGTAACATTCCCCCCCGCCCCCCGTTATTTGGCCAGAGGTTGTCTTCCATTTTTTGGCTTGGATGAATGAGTCCTCACACTCCTCTCAGAGTTTCAATCGCGGACACGTCTAGATTGCTATTCTGTCAGTTCCTGGAGCCTGTTTTCCCCCAGTGCCTTCAGTGCAGCTTGAATTTGTCTCTTTAATGCCCTCAGTTTTTGATCCTGTGCTACCTTCTGAAATGCTTATTCCCCAGTTATTTTGCTCTGGTTACTCTGTGTATTCTTTCCATCTGTTTTTGATACTTGCTGTTGTTCAATATTTCGCCTGTAGGATCCTTCAGTGTTGCAGATGAAGGCTTGAATTTTCACTCCAGTTCCCCGTGAGAAGTGCTGGGTATACTCTCGTCACGTACTGGCCTAGGTTCTCATTGTGATATATTTATTATTTTTTTTAAAGGACTTATTTCTTTTTGTGACCAGGTTTATTCTCCACATCTGCCAAATAGTTTTTCTTCCCCAAGTTTTTGTTAAAATTGTCTTTTGTTTCAATTCTGAAATAGCATGAATTCTAATTTGATGAAAGCAGACACATGAACTGAGTTAGATGACATTTCATATATTTAATGTCATTGAAAAGGCTTTGTCCTCTACATTTTCAATCAGTGTAATTTATATCATCTGTTGGTTTCTGTGTTTGGGTATTGAAATAAGACTTTGGTCTTAGGAAAAGTACAGCCCAAGTGCTCCTTGGAGGCAAGGATGCGTCGTCTTTCATACTTAGGTCATGTTGGCAGGAGGAAGCAGTTCCTTGGAAAGGGACATCATGCTTGGTCATCAAAGCAGAGGAGGGCCCCCAATGAGATGGACTTACACAGTGACTTCAACAGTGGGCTCCAGTGTGTCAAAGATGATGAGGATGGCACAAGGTGGAGCTGGATTCAGGTCAACTCTTTAGAGGGTCATTATGAGTTGAACTTGACTCAATGGCACGTAACAACAAGATGGTATAGAGTAAGTGGAGCTGTGGTGATCTAGTGGGTAAGCAGACGTACTGCCAGCCGAAAGCAGACAGTTCAAACCCACTGGCTGCCCTGAGAGAGACAGATGAACGATCTCCTCTTGTGCAGCCGTTGAAAACTCACTGGAGGGTCAGTTAGGAGTCACTTCCAGCTCAACAGCACATAACAACAACGTAGTATAAAACATAGGTTATAGTTCGTTATAAAACATGGGGGCTAGTCAATGGAGTTAAGTTTAAATCCCAGCCTCCTTTTCTTAGTGTGTAAGTTACTCATCTTTTCTAAGCTTTAGGTGCAAATGTCATAACACAGAAATAATAAAACCTTTTTAAGGGTTTGTTGAAATGCTTTTCAGTGTCTAGGATACAGTCGGCACTTAGTAAATGGAAACAACCTTTTTCCCCCTACAGCATTCCCAGCAAATAAGACAGCTGACGATGCAAGACATGTAATAAAAGTGGTAAGTCTTACTTGTCATCTGTGTTTCACTTTTTCTTTTTGGTTTTATCTCCTTAAGTAGGTTTAAAAAAAATAAAAGAAAAAGGATCTGTCACCTTAATTCTTAGAATATATTTCTTGATAAACTCAATACCTGATTTTTCACATTAAAGTAAGAGATAATGGAGAATCATCTTTTGTGTTGGCATCTGTCTGTCTACTTAGTATATAGTTACCTTAAGTGCAGATGGTAAGGTCCCTAAATGCAGGGGTGGAGTTTTGTATTTGTGTGGGTCCCTTTTGTCCACTGTCGGGGATGAAATACCGCAGACACTTGGGAAAGGTGCTGAGTAACAGTAATATGCATCCATGAAAGGACCAGGATGGTGTTTAATGGATTTGTCTTCATATGCGTGAAGTGTATACTACAGATAGAGTTTTCAGTGCTTGAAATACGTACTTTCTTTGAGAAGACACGTTTTCATGCACAAGTCACTTGTGGTACACGTGACTACTCAGAGTTCAGTAATTTGAACCCACCAGCATTTCTGTGAGAGAAGCTGCCACACTTTGTTTTTCTAGCGATTTCCCGTCTTGAGAACTCTGGGGCAGTTCCACTGGCCTGTAGGGTTTTCAGGAGTCAGACTTGACTCAGCTGCAGTGAATGTTATAAAGGAATAGTGGTCACAAGATACATTTTCCATAGGATCACACGATACATGTTATATGTTTATATGGTCACAAGATACATTTTCTATAGGGATAGTGGTCACAAGATACATTGAGAATGAGAGTCTTCAAGGTTAGTGGTTTTCTGAGATTTTTAGGGAAAATCTAGAGCCTGTGTTTTATGGAGTGATCCAAGTGCCGGTTCATACCACATATTTATATTCATAAATTCATAGTTGAAATGCCAATTTCATCTGTGGGATTATTTCATTCCTAGTAAAATTAATTACTCTCTTCCTTTGTAGGAATATCAAGAAAATGGCCCGTTATTTTCAGAGCTCAAATTTTATCAAAGAGCTGCAAAACAAGACTGTAGTAAGTAAAATAAACCAAGCAAGCTACTGCCATACATGTGCTTGCTAAAGTGAGTGTTAATATTTTGGTCTTTTTCTGGCCTTCTGGAAAATTCTTCTCAATAAAAAAAAAATTATTGTAAAGTGATAGTTAACTACTATAACATATAAAAGCAAGACAGATGGTGTAAAAATCTTGGTATGGCATACATAATGGATTATATATTTTAAGTCAAAGTTGTTTCTGCTACTTTACATAAAATGTTGGGCTGTTGATCTTAGCGATGGAGAATTATCTAAGTGTGAAAGATATTAGAATGAAATTATTATTTCTTTTATAAGAACCTACTTGGATGATAAGGATGTGAGGAAAAGGCATGAAAAGAATCAGTTGATGGAGAAACAAATGGAATGGTCTTAGAATGGATTAGGTGTAGAAAAATGATTAATTATTAACATGTAAAGAAAATAAGTGAAAAATATTAGAACCTGGAGGATTGGGAAATTAATTTGAGCTGTTATATGAGCAGAGATGTAGAAGAATAAAAACATTGTATAAATACTGTGTGATGTACATGGACTGAGCGAAACATTGAAGAACTTGATTTGAATAATGGCTTATTATAGTAGAGATATTTTGTATCATGTTTCAGAAAAAGAATAATGGTCTGGCCTCAGTAATTAACTTTGTTTTCTTTAATAAAACCTTTTAAACATTGAGGCTTTAGTCTTTGCTAACTGCTTAAATGATGTCAGAGTGACAAATAGAATCCATTAAACTTGATTGTTTGTCAGAAGAGCTGTCTTAAACATTAAACATATATAGTAGAGAAGTATAAAATGAAATATGCTAGTTGATTGGTTTAAGTGAAGGTGGTATTTTAAAATTATATTGATCGAAGCAAATTCTTTATGATGTAATTTCAGAGTAGGGCTTTTTTTTCCTGTTAAGTTTCTGTTTTTTGTTTTTGTTTTTTTTTTTTAAACTACCAAAGGTACATAGTTCAAACCCACCAAGTGCTCTGTTGGAGAAAATTGGGCAGTCTCCTCCTATGTCATTTATTTTCTCTGCTAACCCTCTCGAGGGTCAGCAAAGGGATGATTCTGACTTGATGACACACAACATCAACAGTGCGTGTGATTCTTAAGGAATAGGGAAGAAAAGCCATGTAGCTACTGATTGTTGAGTAGTTAGCATATATTTCAATTAACTAGCATATAAATGAGTGTGTTTTTTGAGAAGAGTTTCATTTCTGTATCTGATACCAATTATTTTATAAGGGTAACTGTGTTACAGTTTCCATTTAAAAAATTCTGTCCATGTTGTGTTTTACTTAATGGTGATCATAGGTAGACTTGAAGCCATTGGATAGATATATTTACCTTTTACTTTTCTCTCTCTCAGGAGAGCTTGCTACCATTTAGGTTAGCTAAGTAAGCCTTAGCATCTAAGCAAAAGTAAGAAATCATTTTCAAAATAATGTGACATTTCGTATCCACTTTGCAGTCAAGAAGTGGATCGCGCTCAACCAACTTGATTATTTAGGAATTCCTCAGTTTTACGGATCTGGTCTGACCACGTTCAAGGGACGAAGGTAAGATGAAATTATAATATTACCTGTGATCACACTTTTATTTGCTGTACAGCAAATTTCTTAAAACCTAGGCATTAAAGCCACCATCGAAGTATCTCGGTGTTTTTGTGGGGCAGGAATCTGAGAGGGTCTCTTCTGGATGGCTGATTTGTGATCTCTCAGTGGAGGTAGTTAGCTCCCCACTGGGCTGTAGCCATTTCAAGACTCACGTGGAGAAGGATCCGCTATGCATTGCGCTCATGTGACCCCTGGCAGACTTTGGAAGATCTGCTTCTAATGCTCTGTGTGATTGCTGGGAGAACTGCCCTTCATCACGCAAGCTTATCCACTGTCCACCTAAATGTTTCCATTACAAGGTAGATAGTTTCCACCCAGAGCACGAGATTCCAGAAGAAAGAAAGTAACTGAGAGAATGACAAAGACACAAATAAGAGAGAGGAAACATGCACAATAGAACACGTAGTGCTTCTGTGATCTCATGGTGAGCATGACATCTCATCACTTCTGAATTATCTTTGTTAGAAACAAGATGCAAAGTTCACCTCAGACTCAAGAGCAGGGCGTAATTAAGCTCCATCTTTTCAGGGAAGATGAAGCAAAGACTTTCTAGAATTTAAAAAAAGAACACAAAAAAAAACACCAAACCACTATATCTGACTATCAGTTGCAGATACATAATTTTAAAATAATGATTCTTTAAAATGTTATATTGTTTTGCATATAACAATTTTCACAGTACATCATTGTCAAATGACGCACATTGCATTTCACAGTCTTTCATTCATCTCATGTTAAAATCATAATTTTTTTTTGGTAATTTGTCATTTGTGAGGTACTTCATGGCAAAGATTTGAACTTAACGTTATCTTATTTTATCCTTTCAAATAGCCTTTTCATAAAGGTAATGCCTCTTTTAACACAGGTAGTAAGTAAAAAGGCTCATAGCCTAGTCTTTTTGCTTAGATAATTTTTCAAAACTGTATATAAAAAGCTAATGAACCAGGTGTCATTTTGAAAAACAATGAAAGGCTACTAAAAACAAAAGTAAAAGAGCAGGGATAGTTGGAATGAATGACTGAGCATTATGGCGTATTCACATAATATTATATTGTCATGTGCCAATGAGTCTGAACCGATTCCTAGTTGACCCTCCAGCAGGTTTTCAGAGGCGGTAAGTGCCGTGGGAGGAGACTGACCACCTTTCTCCCTCCCAGTGGCTGGTAAACTTGAACCTCTCCCTTTTGTGTTAGCATTGCAACTCCTTCCCGCTCTGTCCCCAGAACTCCCTGTGGTCTGTTTTGTGGCTTATGCAAATGATCGGCTGGAGCTAAGTCTGTTGACTTGAAAGGCCTCCTCATGCGAAAGGATTTCTGGGGGGGGAAAAGCAGATGCAGAAAAATGCGTTTGGTAAGATCCCAGTTCTTTTTGTAAGTCGAAGATTGAAGAATTCTGATATACGTGTGTTTTTATGTGTCTGCACAAATTGAATAGAGACTGATGTGATCATCTAGGCAAAAAAAGGAGGGGACCCTGAACAGAACGGAAAAGGAAAGAGCACATTTAAAAAGGCATTGAGGCATGGGGGGAGGGGGGAGGCACTTGTGAATCATGACTTTTATGCATTTATATAAAATAAAGCCTTGTAAATTTGGAAGCAGGAGTGGCGTCCACTTCCTAAACAGCTGTCTTTAAACACTCGTATGAGCTGACGATAGTTATAGAAAGGCTTCAGGCCTTTTGTTCGTAGGGTCTCTATGAGTTTTGCTTGACTTGACAGCAATCAACAACAACAACAAATACAGAGAGCATGTCTATTTTAGTTTTATAAGGCTAAAACCACATCAGAAGGACATTTTCTATGTGTCTAATAACTTGTGCCAGGTCAATTGTTAGACATTGATGGTTGTTGTTGTTGTTGTTATGTGCCATTGAGTCGCTTGCGACTCATAGCGACCCTATGTACAACAGCCCTAAACTCTGCTCTGTCCTGTGCCAGTTGCACTGCCTCTGACACTCCCATCCCGATTACCCCAGTCACTGAATCAATCCACCTCATAGGGGGCCTTCCCCTCCTGCGCTGTCCCTCCACCGTACCAAGCATGACGTCCCTCTCCAAGGACCTGTCCCTCCTCACAACATGTCCAAAGTATGTTAAACGGAGCCTCAGAATCCTTGTCTCCAAGGAGCCACCCGGCTTAACCCTTTCCAGGACAAATCTGTTTGTTTTCCTAGCAGTCCATGGTATTCTCAATACTCTTCTCCAGCACCACAGCTCAAAGGCAGCAATTCTCCTTCTACCGTCCTTGGTCGTTGTCCAACTCTCTGATGCATAACAAGTGATAGCAAAGACCATGGCCTGTATCAGACGCACTTTAGTCTCTAAAGAGACACCATTGCTCTTCAGTACTTTGGAGAGGTCCCTAACAGCAGACTTTCCCATGGAAATATGCCTTTTAATTTCCTGGCTACTGGTGCCAAGTGTGTTGACTGTGGAGCCAAGCAAACTAAAGCTGTGAATAATCTCAGTCTCTTCACCATCCATCCTGATGCTGCCAATTGGCCCAGTGGTGAGAATCATTGTCTTCTTGACATTGAGCCTCAATCCATATTGGAGGCTGCAGTCCTTGACCCTCTGCAGCAAGCGCTTCAGGTCCTCCTTAGTTTCAGCAAGCAGAGTTGTGTCATCTGCATAACACAGACTGTTAGATCTTCCACCAATCCTGATGCCACATTTCTCCTCATAGAGCCCAGCCTCCCGGATAATCTGTTCTGCATATAGGCTGAAAAGGTATGGAGATAGGATGCATCCCTGGCGTACGCCCTTCCCAATTTTGAACCATGCAGTGTTGTTCCCTTGCTCTGTTCTGACGACTGCCTCCTGGTCCAAGTATAGGTTTCACATTAGCACGACTATTAGTTCAAGACTATCTACTTAAAATAGACTATTCTGTTTTTAGTGATGTCAGTTTAAGGACTAAGGTGCTCCTGATTCAGGCCATAGTCTTTCGGGTCACCTGCTGTACGTCTGAGAGCTGGACAGTCACTCAGGGTGACAGAAGAATTGATGCTTTTGAATTGTGTTGCAGGAAAGTACTGAATGTGCCATGGACGGCCAAGAGAGAATAAGTAGATACGTCTTGGAGAAGGTTCAGCCAGAGTGCTCCTCAACTGCAAAGATAACAAAACTTTGTCTCACATACACTGGCCATGTTGCTAGGAGAGGCTGTTGCTTGGAAAGGGACATCATGCTTGGAAAGGTGTAGAATCGAGGAAAGAGAGGAAGACCCTCAACCAGGTGGATTGACACCATGACTGCTCCAATGGACTTGAGTATGTCAGAGGTGGTGAGGATGGCACAGGATAGGACAGGGTTCAGATCTGTTGTTCATAGGTTCGCTAGGAGTCTTCCTCAGGTCAACAGCACCTGGTAAGTGTTAACACCACCATTCTGTTTTCATGACTGACATCAGTGCACCTGGTTTAGCACATCAATCTCCTACCAGAGCAAGAACTATAAACATTGAGTCATAACTCTTTCTGCAAGAGAGCTGCGGGAGCACTGACGTGTAAGTGTCCTCTCAGTGCTCAGATTGCATCCTGTTTCTTTGGGAGGTGCTGAGTATTTCTGCTGGTTTTCAGTTCATCAATAGACAGTGTCAAGTCTCCATAGATGAGGAAGATCTCTTTGTGATGCCCCTTTCTTCCAGTTACAGATTTATGGTAATGGAAAGACTAGGCATCGATCTGCAGAAGCTCTTAGGCCTGAACGGCACCTTTACGAAGTCGACGGTCCTGCACTTAGGTGTCCGGATGGTAAGAAGGAATGGCTTCTTTGACATGCCCCACTTTCAGATGCATTGCTTGTTAAAATATACAGATCTTTGCTCTTTGTGGAATTACTTGAGAAGGAAGCCTCATTGCCCTAGAAATGTCACTTATTGAGAATAGAGGCTATTTTGGTGAAATTGATAGCAGTGGGCCACGTAAGTGACAGAACGTGCTGTCTTTGGCACTACAGATGCAATTAGGCACCGGTTTTACAGTCTTAATTTTTCTCGCTCGCAGCTTTGTTTTCACTTATCAGAACACGATTCCATTGCTATAAGAATAACCCTTCTTTTGTCAGTTGTATTTATAATAACGCAAATGATGGCAAAACAGATTATTGGCCAGACTGAACGTGTGATTGTGGAGGAGTGCTGTAGAATTTTTATTATGAGTTTGTGATAGCAGAACTACTTAGTTGTGGCAATGAATTTTATACAGTTTGCCAAACAAGAAGCAATGAAAACTTAGTAGCACCCGTGCACACGTTTTGTTTATGACATGTATTTGTCTTATCGTGTTTGTGTGTGGTTTGCCTAAGCCTCCTTTTAGTTTATTATTTTTTTTTCTTTTTAAGTAGAGTGCAATAACTGATGCTAAGTTGAGTGTAGCAAATAGAGCTCATTAATTTATCGACTTACCCACTCATCTAGCCATCCATCCATCTGCCCAACCAGAGCTTATTGAGCCTTATCTGTACGTATCATGCTTCAACCATGAGGCTAGGAGTTGTCTGTCCCTGTACCTTTCTCCATGACAATTGACGTGGGCTTGTGTTACACTTGATTTAAACCTATATTTTTATGCAGATAACAGAGTGGTTCACTTCAGTGTGCCAAGACTTCCTCCCCTTGGGGGTATTTCAATAAATAGGCTTTGCCCATTTGTTTTGTTGTGGTTTTTTTTTTTTAATCAACATGTTAAAAAAAAAGGCATAGTACTGCTTATGAAGATAACTCCTGATATGAGAGCAGGAAGAATCAGTTGGAAAACAAGTATAGCACCTGTGTGTTATTTGAGAAAAATGTAATAATTATAGTTTGGATGAAAAATTGCTGAGTGGATGTGTGATTTTTTTTCACTTTAGATCTCTTTCACTGTATTCTGTGTTTTTCCTTTTCAATACAGTGACTTTTATCCATTACCTTGTCATTGGGTACTGTTAAATTCCAGTTCCCTTCCATCAGAGCTTCATTTGAAAACATTTTAGCTACGAGAGTCACCAAATATAAGATAAGCAACCATTGAGAAATTATGGTACATTCACAGTGGAATACTATGCAGCGCACAGGAACAATGACTTTGTAAATTATTACCTAACTTTGGAGGGACTGGAGAGCGTGATGCTGAGTGAACTAATTCTGCCGCACAAGGATAAATATTGTATAAAGCCATTGTAATAGAATGAATGTAAGGATCCATGAGGGGTGGGAGAGGCTGGAAGCAGAGGGACGAGGAGGTGCAGGGGGAGGAGGGGATTAATCATGGGGTTGAACAATTTTTTTTTCTTTTCTGTTGCTTTTTTTTCTTTTTTTAAATTATTATTAATGTCAGTGAACATCTACAGAGATTTTGGAGATCCATTCATTCATTGTTGCAATTTTCTCCCCACCCACTCACCCTCACCTGGGTTGAACAATTTGATGAGTAGAGAGGTGAGGGAAATTGAAAGAATTTGTTCATGAAAACAATGTATTCAAATTTTGTAAATAAATTAGTAGAAAAAAAAGATACGTAACCATTCAGAAGTGATAGTTTGGCATAGAGTAATCAACTATAGTTATGAAGTGGGTCAGGCGGCCATGGTTCAAATGAATAAAATGATGTATACATGTTATTCTGTCTCCTAAATGTTCGGGTTTATGATGAGTTCTAAATAGACAGTGGTATAACCTATACTTTTTTTCTTTTTCTAGTTGGATGTGCTTGAATACATACATGAAAATGAATATATTCATGGTGATATAAAAGCAGCAAATCTACTTTTGGGTTACAAAAATCCAGATCAGGTAACTGTCCTCTGAAGTCTTTGTTTTGAGGAAGAATCCTCACTGAGTCTCCCAAAGCCACAGACTCCTCCCCTAGGAGAGTTTAGAGAGAAGAACGTGCATGATGAATGCTGCAGTTCATCTTACCTCACTTACCGAAGTTAATTCTTGCACTGTACTAACGAGTAATTAAGATGAGGAAACAGAGAGGCATAGGGGTCAGGTAATTTGTTAGTGGGTACGTTTGTGAAGAAGTGGCCAACTAGGAGTGTGAACTTCTCAGCAAATATTGAGAAACAAAGGAACCATCAGAATCCAATGAGAAGGGAAAGATAATACAGAGAAGGGAAAAAACCCCACACAAGTCACAATCCCTCCTCGTGTCTCCTATGGAGCCACTTAAGCTTTAAATAGAGGAGCAGTTCTAATAGAGCTTTTGATAGTAATGGAAACGGACCTGATTAGGTTGTATACTTCTGTAGCCACTCGTCAGCGTGGCTGTTTAGCACCTGAAACATGACTAATATTATTGAGGAACTGTGTTGCTGGAGGAATGGAATTGAATGTAAACGACCCGCTTGTGGTTTGGAAGTGTTTTTTAGCCGGTGCTGATGGTGGTGGCAGTGGGTGCCTGGGGTCTCGGGGACCCTCCGCACAGCAGCACATCTCACCCTTGGCCTGTGCCACACTCACCATCTCCAGCCTGTGTTGTTACAGTTACCGTATCAATCCAACCTGTTAGAGTTTTTCCTCTCTTTTTTTGCAGGTTTCACAGCGTTCGAAAGCGTCGGTGTAAAGGATTAAATTATTGAGTCAGTGAAGCAGTTAGGGGAAAAAATATGTGTGTGTGTGTGTATTATTGCATATATATATTGCGTATATATATTTCATGTTTTTCATATATATATTTCATATATACATTTAATACATATATTTTATGTTTTTCATATATGTATTTCATATCTGTATGTCATATAGATCTATATATTTATGTAAACAAATTATATATAAACTTTCCAAAGTTCTGAAGAGCAATGGTGTCTCTCTGGAGACTAAGGTGTATCTGATACAGGCCATGGTCTTTGCTATCACTTGTTATGCATCAGAGAGTTGGACAATGACTAGGGAGGACAGAAGGAGAATTGGTGCTTTTGAGCTGTGGTGCTGGAGAAGAGTATTGAGGGTACCATGGACTGTTAGGAAAACAGATTCATCCTAGAGAGGGTTAAACCGGGCAGCTCCCTGGAGGCAAGGATTCTGAGGTTTCATCTGACATACTTTGGACATGTTGTAAGGAGGAACTGGTCTTTGGAGAGGGCCATCATGCTTGGGAGGGTGGAGGGATGGCGCAGGAGGGGAAGATCCTCTATGAGGTGGATTGATTCAGTGACTGGGGTAATTGGGATGTGTGTGTCGGAGACAGTGTTATTGGCACAGGACAGAGCAGGGTTTAGGGCTGTTGTACATAGGGTCGCTATGAGTCGACACGTAAGAACAACATGTGTGTGTGTATATATGTGTGTGTATATATATATACACACACATTTCTATATGTGTGTATATATACATACTTGAATTTTTAACTTTTCTTGTCTGGAAAAGAGTATTTCTCTAAGTAAAAGTACTACCGAAGGAATCACAAAAGAAAATACTAGCAGATTTAAAACCTTGAAATGCATGTATATTGAAAAACTTGTAAAATAATGAAAGGTGATGAGATGAGAAACTGGGAGACATTTATTACACATATTTGTAACTAATGTATTCTATAGGGCACTCTGGTGGCAACATTTGGCAACTTTGGTGGTTTGAATTGACCAGTGATTGTAGTGTGAAAGCTGAGCAGTCTCCTCCTCTGTGATACACAGCCTTTGAAAACCTGCTGGAGAGCCAGCTAGTTGTTGCTTCTGACTGGAAGGCGATACTGTTGAGTCAGAACCAACCCAAAGCTGACCCTTCAGTTGGTTTTCAGAGGCAGTAAGTTGCACAGGAGGAGATTGCCCATCCTTCTCCCATGCAGCAGCTGGTGGATTCCCGCCACATGCTTTAGGGATTACAGTGCAGTTTCCTATCCTGAGGCCATCAGAGCTCCCTGGGAGGCACACACTCTTCTCTCACAGTACAGGTCAAAGGCGTCAGTTCTTCTGTCATCCTTAGTCATTGTTCAGCCCTCAGATGCATAGCAAGTGACCGAATCAGACACACCCTAGTCCTCAAACTGGCGTTATTACTCCTAAGTAATTTGGAGAGGTCCCAGACTATAGTCTCACAGTGCAGTGCCTCTCCTGGTCTCCTGACTGCTTATACCAAGAGTATTGATTGCAGATCCAATTTTAGAAGGCACTGAGAGTGAAGACATTTTGTATGTAACCGATTATAAAGAAATAATACAAAAAAACAGGAGATACATTCTTAAAAATGTAAAGGAATGAGCAGACATCTGTGGGAAAAAAATACAACTTTTCAGAAAACTATGAAACTAACATGTTCTTGTTAAGTGCTGTTGAGTCGTAGATGACTCAGAGCAACCCTGTGAATGAAAGACCTGAACACTTGCATAACTTTTCATCATTTCTCCAAGTTCATAGAGTTTCCGGAGGCAAGCTGTTTGGGAAGCGGGTGCCACTCCTGCTTTCAAGCTTGTTTTAATTGGGGAGCGCCACCAAACACTGTCCACCATGGGTGACCATTCTCATATTTGACACATCAGTGTCACAGTGTTTAGCATCACAGCAGTCATGAGTTACCTCTACAGCAAATGGATAGACCAGTGCTATACCACTTAGAAGAATATTTGACCAAAACCAATTAAAACCCAGCCTGAGGGCCGCATATGAAAATCACCCACCTGTGGCTTGGTAGCATCCCTTTCTATCCACGAGGCCCACAGAGCTCTATGTTGTTATTATTGTTAAGTGCCTTCGAGCTGTAGACTTAGACTCTATGAACGACAGACCTGAACACTTGAATAACTCGTATAACTTTCATTGTTTCTCCAAGTTCATAGAGTTTCCGTAGACAAGCTATTTTGGAAGTGGATGCCACTCCTGCTTCCAAACTTGTTTTAATTCGCAAGTTCCACCAAACACTGTCTACCATGAGTAACCATTATCACATTTGACATGTCAGTGTCAGTGTTCAGCATCACAGCAACCACGAGTTACCTCTGTACAGCAGCAAGGCACTATTATTATTTTTTTTTTAAATAAACCTATCCAATTGGAAAAGTCTAGAATAATAACGTGGAGATACTGAGGCTGATAAAGGGTGGAGACATTGGTGAATGCCAGTCAGAGTGTAAATTAGATGGGCACAGGAGTGGGGAAAATTAAGTTAATAAAAGGGCAATTGGTTAATATGTTAAAAACCTTTAAAAGTCTGCATTCTTTTGTTAGGGTCAAGTCTATTGAGGTTTTAACTTACAAATAGTACAGCCCACCCTTTAGAGTATGTAGTTTGATGAGTTTTGACACCTGTTACCTTGCTAACAACCACGATAGCCAAGATGTCCAACATTTTCCCCATTCCCAAAAGTGCTCTTAATCCCTCTTGATTGGCTTTCCTCCTACCTCCACCCTCTTGGCAGTGATAGAAGTGAGTTCTGCTTCTGTAGCCCTTACATTTGAAGTAACAGTAGTATAAATGGAATTAACAGAGGTTTTATTATTTTCCGATCTGGCTTCTTTCACTTAGTGTACTGCCTCTTGAGAGTCATGTGTTACATTTCATCAGCATTGTATTCTCTTTTTTTGTCACATAGTATTTCACTAAACATGACTATAATTTGTTCACCTGCTGATAGACATTTGAATTGTTTCCAGTTTCTGGCAATAATGAATAGACTTGCTGTACTATGCATTCCTTTTCAGATTGTGCAAGTGTATCTTTTTCTTTCTTGTGGCTAAATAACTGGAAATGTACATTCTGGGTCATTTTCTGTGTGTGTAGTTAACTTTAAAACCCCCAGATTATCTAACAGAGTGATGGTCTCATAATGCCTTTCTCTCTGCACTTCTGTGATGGCCTGCAGTTTGTCAACCCTTGATAACAAGTCTTTTCTAATAATTTAGCAATTCCAATAGGTGTGTGATAGTGTTTAGTGGTTTTAATTTGCAGGACTCATCACTAATGACTCATAATAGCGTCTTTCTTGTGCTTAACTTGCCACCCGTATGTCTTCTTTGATGCCTCTTTGACTTTTTTGTGTTTTTAATTCAGTTGTTTTCCGTTTGGGTTGTTAAAGAGATCTTTGTGTTTTGAGAACAGGAGTTCCTTGTTAGATTTTTCTACTGCATGTATTGCTCTGCAGGGAACTCTGGTGGTTACACTAGAGAAAGATGGGTGATCTTCTCCTACTGGAGGGGGGGGGCTCTGATATGCGTCAGGTCTGACTCCATATTTTCTGCATCGGTGAATTAGTTTTTCATTCTATTATTTTAAAACCAGGAGAAACATACCATATATATGAAGTTCAATTTAGAGTTTTCTTTTCTGATTGTTTTATTTTTGTCCTAGAGCATGACACAAGTTGTTATTGGACACAAGTTGTAATTTGTTTTTACAACTATGTGTGTGTGTGTGTTTTGTGTAGAAAATAGAGTCATTTTATCTATCTCACCACCAGCACTATGCTGTCTCGATTACTGTAGGGAACTCTGGTGGCCTCGGGACAGGAGCTGCACTGCAGTTCCAAAGGTATGTGGTTTGAGACCACTGGTTGTTCATCAGGAGAATGGCAGTCTCCTCCCATGACAGTTATTGCCTGTGAAAACCCGCCAGAGGTCGAAGACTGACTCCATGGTACATAGCAACAGTCCTAGTGTTGCCTTAAGTCTAATCATTTTGCCATCATTTCCACAGAAACTAACTTCCTGATTCTTGAAATCAGGAAGTGTAAATCTCGTAACTCCTTTTTTAAAAATTCCTTTGATTATTATGGCTTCTTTGTATTCCGTGTATCATATTTTAGCTTGAGCCAGTCAATTGCTGACAGAAATCCTTGTAGTCTTTTCATCGTAGTT